AAAATCAAACATGGAGGCTAACCCTCATTTCTTCACACATTATTTGAGGATAAAACAACAATGACCTCAGTACAGCATTTATAGTGATGAATACTACATGACAGGCATAGAGAAAGTGCTGTGGTTATTGGCTGGAACAGGTGGGTTCTAATTGAGAAGAGGAAGACCTGAACTGGGTGAGAGTTTCCAGAGAAGACAGAACTTCAGGGAATAGCAGTATTAAGGGAAGGAGCATTTGGGTATGAGGAACAAACACACAGAAGCAGCAAGCCAGGGGGGGGGGGGCCGTAATAATCAAACAGGTATGACTAGTATCTTCTTTTACACTTTGTTCCTTCTCTTTCAACATTTAATCAGTAAATAAATAAAAGTAAAGAGCTCCCATTATCACTGGACTTATTTAAAAATCATTTCACTCCTCATTTTCCACTAACATAAACTTGCTTACATAACCTTTCAACAACTTTAATTGAACATTGAAAATTTCTCTTTATAACCTTTATCCTACCTTTTCATCTCATCTTTTTAATTAGTCCTATATAACATTTTTAAAAATTCTGTATTTTTTTTTTCATGAACTTCCTTTCAGTTACATTTCTTACTTTCTAATAATGACTATGTAGTGTCATTCAAATCACAAACAGAATCCCAACAGCAATAGCAAAGCCTATTCATGGCGTGATTTTTATTCATGCTTCCTGATTTTTCTTTCTTTTATTTTATTTACTGACAGATGAAGATTTTTATCTTTAGAGAAAAATTCCACAGTGGGCATACTGAATTTCCATTTATCCTCCTCATCACACAGTTTCCCCTATTATTAACATTTTGCTTTAGTCATTATAGTGTTATATTGTCATAATTAATCACCCAATATTGACGTATTAACTGAAATCCATAGTTTATTCAGATAGCCTTAGTTTTTACCCAAAGATCTTTTTCAGGATAACGAATTACATTTAGTTGTCATGCCTCCTTAGACTCTTTTAGGCTATGACACTTTCTCATGCTTTCCTCGTTTTTGATGATTATATTAGGGTTCTCCAGAGAAACAGAACTAATAGGATATAAATAGATAAATGGAAAGAGATTTATTATGAGGGGTAGGCTCACATTATGATAGAGACCACAATGTCCCACAATCTGTCCTCTGCTAGTGGTATAGCTCCAGTCCAAATCTGAAGGCCTGAGAACTAGTCGGCAGTGGCAATCATAGGAATTCTGGTGTAAGCCTGAATACTCAAGGGACTTGGACCAGGACTTAAACTATCAATCTCCCTGATTCTCAGGCCTTCAGATTTGCATTTAGTTTGTTCTTTTTTTCCTACTTCCTTAAATTATAAAGTTAAGTTGCTGAATTTAGTATTTTTTTTAATATGGGAAGTGATAGCTATACATTTTCCTCTTAACACTACCTTTTGCTGTATCCCTTGAGCTCTGACTGGTCTTCTATGTTTATGATTTTTTCTTTGGCCCATTAGTTGTTTAAGAGTGTGTTGTTTAATTTCTACACATTTCTACATTTTCTAGTTTTACTGCTGTTATTGATTTCTAACTTAATCTTATTGTGGTTGGAGAAGATACTTTTATAATATATATCTTTTTACATCTATTGAGATTTAATTTGTGGACTATTCTGGTAAATATCCCAAGGTACACTTGAGAAGAATTATGTATGTTAACATAGAGTAAATGTTCTATTATTGTCTATTTTGCCCATTTCATTAATTATGTCATTCAAAACCTCTATTTTCTTGTCTTCTTTCTGGTTGTTCAACTCATTATTGAGAATGAGGTATCAAAATCTCCAACTATTATTGTAGAACTATTTTTTTTTAATTCTGTCAGTTTTTGCTTCATATATTTTGATGGTCTATTATTAGGGGTTTATAATATTTATATCTTCTTTCTGTATGTGCACCCCATACTTAAGGAGTAGGGAATTATGCTTCAATTTTTTTCATATTTTTTTTTCCTAAAACCAAGCTTAGGATGAAATGAGGAAGGCAGAGAATTATTATGCTTTCCCAACCCCATTTCACAGATAGGAAAAACCCTAAAGCTCATGAAATTAAGAGACCTGCTTATGGTCAAGACAGAAAAGTAGAAGAATCATATTGGGAAGTATGTGTGCTCTATTGTGCTTTCATCAAGAAACAAATTTCTCAGCCAGCTGCAACCAAGATTCTCTAGAATTTTCTTGGTTCTTTATCTTTTCATATTTTGCCCACATCTTAAGTTTTGTAGTTATCACTCTATTGCTGATCAAAAGCTTTTCCTTATTCTTTAGTCATGGTCTTCATTATTTCCTTCTCTTTTAGACTTTATTTTTATAAGCACTTTTTATTACAACCAATCTTCTCAAAATCAGAGCAGGCAGACAGCTCTGATGGAGGTGAAAGGGTGTTGTGAGGGGGTAGGTATGGTGGAGGGATTAAAAAAAAACAACAGAAGAGCGAGAGAATTCATGGACATGGACAACAGTATGGCAGGAGAGTGGAAGAAGGCATAAAAGGGATAAATGGTGATGGAAAAAATTGAATTAAATTAAAAAGAGACAATTGTGTTTGCAGTTTATGTGCATATCTACATAACCTCCCCAATTTAATAACAACCTATTAAGGAAAATAGAAACATGCTTACTTCACTGAATCTCAAGAAAATTCATGATCTATTCTTGGCTTGCTTTGTACTTTCGTCTGAGTTGCTTTGACTTGAGTATGTCCTATTCCTTCCATGACTTAAATGTCTCAAGAGTATTCTAACTAATCAATACTCAAACCTTCTAGGCTATTTTTATCCCCACCTCCATCTTCAATGAAAGCAATATTCTTTGAAACATTATGCTTAGATGACTTATATAATTCTCTCAAAGCAAGGAATTTCTTCTTTCAGACCAAATGGCCCTTAAAAAAGGGAAAAATATAGTTAAGAAAGCTAAAATAGGTAAATAGCCTATTTCAGAATATTTATAGTTTTAGATTATAGACTATCATTTAAAAAAACCTTTAACATATTATTGTGTTCCACCCTACTCAATATAGTATTTATTTTTATTTAATGAGAAAGCTAAACAGTAATTTAAAGACAGAAATTTATCTTTATATTTTATTAATGACTTCGCTTTCTAAACATTTCTGGTATTGGCTAGGGAATCACAAGTTGAGACCCTGAAGAGAACATGGAGATATTATAAACTCTATTTAATGTTTTTGTACAGAATAAAGAGCTGGAGAAGTGTGTATATATATTCTTTGGGTCTCCCTCTTCAATTACAACCTCTTTGATACAAATTAGAAAGAACAGTATGTTTGTGTCTGTATGTTGTGTCTATGTTTAAGGCATACAACAACTATATATATATCCATAAACATTCAGATACATATTTACTATAAAAAGAAAAGCAAACAATACAGATAAAATAAGACAAAATGTGTTATTCAAATACCCAGAGATAACTACATTTAACATATCGGTATGTATCCTTTCCATATATATGCATTTCTATATCATCTCTATATTGATATTTTACCTATCATTCATAAATTTAAATGCCACAATATAGTTTCCAAGTCCTTTTTATTTATATAACATATGTTTTTATGTCCATAAACATAGATCTATATCATGAAGCAGACATTCTTTGATGAACTCCTCATTCAGTTTTCGATCAGTCTCTCAGCTCCAGGACTAATCTCAGAGTCAGGAAAGGGTAACCCCATCAAGAAGCCTAGAGGCAGAATCCACGCAAAGTAGGTGAGGAGACAGGAAAGAGGCTCAGTCTGGAATGTCTTCCCTTTGTGAAAGGAGTAGTGAGGATCTCTTTCTCCTCTCCTCCCTCCTCACCACTTGTTTACACAGACTGTGTAGAAGCTGCCTGAGCACTGTCATAAGAAATATTTCTGACAAAGGAACTGATTCTTTCCGGTGGCATATAGAAAAGAGGGTGCCGACTCTTTTAGAGCCAGAGTAATTGGGCGAATGGAAAGGGAGGTTTGTTCTGCTTCATGGCAGACTTGAGGAAATTTGACAGAGGCGACAGCCCATAGACAGCAGCAATAAAACCCATGAGAAGAGGAGGTCGTTTATGCTTTAGCACTCTGAGGCTGGTGACACCAATAGTTGTCTAAGAGTCATTTCCTTGGACCCTTTCTGGACTGCTGGTAGGTGGAAATTTGGAATTTTAGGAGGGATTTTTTAAATTGCATTTAAAAAAAACTTTGGGAAAAAGTTACCTTAGAAGGAAACAATTTCTGTTTCCCTTTCCTGTAGACTAAGCCACAGATGTTATATAAGCACGAGGGGCCCAGTGCATGAATTCATGCACCTTAAAAGGAACTGTGGGTCACGAGGTTGTGGTGGGCACAGGGACAGGTCTCGGCCCCTCCCAACACAAACCCCTGTCCCCTGCCTGCCCTGCTCCTATCACCACTGCTCCCATGCACTGATGGTGCTGGCATCACTTGTACCTGCTGATGGAACAGAGCAATTGGGGCTGGCACCAGCAGTGGTGCAAGCAGGGCCAATGCTGTCAGGAGCAGCAGGAGGTGGAGAAGCCCTCAGGAGCAATGAGGGCTAGCAGCCGCTGCTTGCACTCACTGATGGCGCTGGCAGGTGCGAGCAGCATCTCTGGCACCAGCAGCAGGTGCAAGTGCCAGGCGGGACCTCAGTGTGCGGGAGCAAAGAATTTTCAGTAACCCTCAGAGGCTCACCCTGATGACAGCGACTGGCACCCCACCTTGGTCTGGCACCCCCACTCACCTGCTCCATCATCCCACCATGGCTGATGCCTGCCATGTTCCATGCACATGCCCTGGTGGTCAGTGCACATCATAACAACCAGTTGTTCAGTTGTTTAGTTGTTCAGTTTTTCTGCCATCAGTCTATTTGCACAATATATATAATTATTAAATCGTTTTGATCTGAGTTACTGAAAATTTTAATGACATTATAAGAAAGAATATTACCTTTCTAATAAATTACACCTACTTCTCTTGCAGAAATAGATGACAAGAGGGTGACCAACACGCAAGCAGAAGTAAGTTTTCTTATAATTTGTGATATAAAATATGGTATCAATATAATTGTGATGAACATATAGTAAAATGTGCCATTAAGTCTCTGCCTGTAGATTACCTTAATTCTATATCTATGAAATACATTGAAAAAAGTTCTCAAATAAACTACTGCTTTTAGTGGATAAGATATGGTATAGATAATTTCAATTTAGTGTCTGATGGCATAGGACCATCACAGGCTGAGGACAGTCAATGTTAGAATTCTGGAGCAGAGAGAAAGGGGAAAGGCATCTCTTAAAGCATCTGGTTTGTGCAGGCAAGAGCAACTCACAGGCCAAAGTCTCCAGGACACATCTAGAAGTTCAAATAGAGAATAGGAGCCAAGAGAGGCCAGGGAAGCTGGTGATATAGAATATAAAGAATGCAAGGAAGTGAGTAAACTTGCACCCAGAAATGAACCAAATGTTTAATAGGTTGTATGCAGATTTAGAAGCCAATTTCCCGAAGGCTGCATAAGTAGGCATATAGTACATAATCAGAAAAATGTAGAAAGAACAAAATATCAAAATACTAAAAATGTAATGAAATTATATATGTGAAAATGTTTTGGAGACTGAACTCTCACATAAATATAGTTTTTATTGCTTAAGTTTTACTGCTGTTACAAAATACACTTTTCTAAAGAGTTAATTTTCTACTTGATCTTTGAATACGTGTGTGAAAAAGAAACATATAAGAAATCCTGGAATAGGATGGAACTGAATACAGTAGAGGTATACCAGAAATGTCAATCATTCACATGTTTACACTCATGTCAGTCATCCACATGTTTATAGTCCGTTTTGCAGAGTTCCCCTGCCTGCATCTTTGTGTACTGGAATGTTACTAAACATTCCATTCTGGATAAATTTGCTTATACCATTTGTTTGGTTGATATGGATTTGGCAATTATTTGTTTTATTTTTATTGTTTACTTTTTAAAAAATAATACTAGTGTTTATTTAAGATCCACTTAATTTGCTAAATAAGCTATTATGTTAAAACATTTTTCAATCTTTTTTTATTTTCAATAAATTTTACTTGTCAATACATTTCTGTGTTCTATATTTTTACACAAATATATCTTACAGTGACAACATATAATTTTAAAATTAAAATTTTAAATGTAATTAATTCAATAAATTAAATTAATTCATTAAATTACATTTTGATACCTATATAATTTTGTTAACCAATAATTTTTCCCTTCCTTTTAAAAATAAAATAATGTTATTAGATGAAAAAATAAAAAGCAATTTTAAGACTGCAATGGATGAAGAGTTTTATGTTAAAATATACCCTATAGCCTGTTATGTTTTTTAAGATTGTAATATCATTGAACATGTCTATAATTTCTCATTGTTTAGAGTTCTCTTTCCCAAGGTGGGAAATCAGAAAGCTCTTTGAAATGCAGCACAGCGTTTACTTCCCTCACAGGGCTGATGGCATTGTCTTATTATCTAAATATAACACTTTTACGTTTTCTTTTTGTCCACAGTCACAGAATGCATCTCCAAAACAGAGGAAGCAGAGCGTGTACACAGCACCCACCATAAAAGGTACTGTGCAGGTACTGTTTCGGGTTGTGCGAGTGTTGAGTTCCTAGCTCACAGGCTGTCTGCTTTCAAGGACCATATACTTGATAATAACCTAGATCTCATCTCAGCTCCACAACTCAGTAATGTGATTCTTTATCTACTTAAAACTTGGTTTCATCAAAATAAATAGGAGTCAATTGAAGAGGGATAACTAGAGATGTCTTAGAATCTGCTTGGAAATTCAGATTTTCCAAAATAATGACAAAGGTCTTTCTTTAACCCTTCCTCTCCTATTTTTCTTGAAGGTATTTTCCCAGAATCCCTAATTACTCTTGCCAGTATTGGCAGATGAGTGTCATTTTCTTTTTCTTGGCTTAAACAAAGTAGAATTTCGGTTAGATTTAATATAGTGTGCTGCCTCATTGCCTTGTGTCGGGAGCGGCGCTAAGAAACCCAATCGGACAGCTATCCGCTGAACATATAACAGCTGTTGGAATGACAACTAAGAATGCTAACTCAGATTCTGGCATTTCCCCAGAATTTCTCCCTAAAATTGGAACTGCTAGAAGAATATCTAAGTGTATCAGAATGTTGACCAACATCAGTTCCAGGAAAGGCTTCTTTTATTTCTCACACCAAAATGTTCCTGACATCAGGCAGACTGTGTCCAGTCCAGTAGCTCATGTTCCAGTCTGGCCTTGAGCCGTTGGCCCAGGGGGTCGTCATGTCATCTCCAGCTCGGTGTCAGGCGCAGCAGAAGCCAGCGAGCATCTTCCCCGGGAGTCTGGAGAGATGTCTAAATTGAGGGTGAAATTTTCCACTCTGCATTCTCTGTAGATTTGAGGCCTTTTCAGGGAGGTGGGATATAAATGGACACATTAAGAGCTACTTTTCAGCAAACTTCCTTCCTGTGCTGCTATAAAACACCGGGTTTTCTTGTTCGCGAGACTGCTGTACATAACACAACCGTCAGCATTGTAGTTTATGCCAGAGTAATTATTGAGATTATCAGGCATTCCTCTCTGATGATAAATGTATCGTTTTTGAGATATTTTCTCCAATGTAAGTCAATGTAAGTCATCTTGTACTTTTAAGACCTATCAGTTTTGGCATGAATGGGCCGCACTGAAAGATATATGTTTACCCATTTAATGATTTCCTCTATTCTATTTTTGGTTAGTTTAACTATAAATAAAGTAATACTGTTCTCAAGTCCTCAGAGAATAATAGCATTATTTTTAAAGAGAAATCTTAAAACCAAGGCCCCAAGGGCTTGTGGTTTGCACTATATTTAGTTCTCAAATATCGTAAGAATGTGGGATCCAAACATTTAGGGAATTTAGTTATATTGCTCATTTTTACATATAATTTTACTGCTATCAAGCACTCCAGGATGGTCATTCAATATTAGTCATTTTTGCTCACGAGTTAAAGGCTTGAGAAAGCAAAGTAATTCTTTTAAGAGACTATGAAGGTGTTATTACAAGCCAATAAGATAGATCCTCACTTATAACCAGTAAATGCCTAAGTCTTCTGCTCCTGATAAAAGAGAAAGCTAAATCCCCATGTTTTGTTTAGTCTACCTTTCCCTAAGAACTAGAAGTAAATTTTCCAAGACGAAATTTAGCAATAAGAAGCTTTTATAGTAAGAAAGACGAATTAGCAAAGGAAATGCTATTGAGATGCTAAATACAATAGTACAATTGTTCTGAAGTGTATAATTCTTCAAAGTGCATTGGAACATGCAATTATTGAGGGTAAAAGCATTTTCTGGGAGAGCAGAGCAGCAACAGATATGATTAAGAGTTCTGAAAAAGAATCACTCTGACAAAAAGGACAATTAGGGCTTCATGAAGGACTCAGTGAATAAGCTGCTTAGTAAAACAAAACAAAAACAAACAGCAAGATTCCTTTATTCTCCTCTCTTATTAGGTTATGAAGAGTTACTGGGGCCCCGGCTGCTTTGGCTCAGTGGATAGAGCATCGACCTGTGGACTGAGGGGTCCCAGGTTTGATTCTACCAGTCGAGGGCACATGATCAGGTTGCAGGCTCAATCCCCAGTGGGGTGTGTGCCAGAGGTGGCCGATCAACCATTCTCTCTCATCATTAATATTCCTACATCTCTCTCCCTCTTCCTTCGTCTCTGAAATCAATAATAATAATAAAAAAGTTACTAGATACAGATGCCAAAGTGACAAGAGGCATCTCACCTATGCACAATTTCAAGTAATGCATTCACAAGCTAGTCTTTAGCTCTTTTATTCATTTATTTTTAGTTGTTATATTACTTATAGTTCCACCAGGTGTCAGGAAACAGATATGGCCAGGCCACCTCCTATTATTAGAGTTTTATATGAAGGTACAGCAGTGAGGAGGAGGGAAATAGAGGAAACCATTTTTAACAGGCACACTCTCAAGACTATATGCTGATGAAACCTGACATATTTCCTGAACTTCAGACCCCTATTTCCAATGAGCTACCAAATTTCTCCACTTGAATGTTATTAAGTTTCTCAAATTTAATATGTCCAAAACCAAAGTCATTGGCTCTTTTTGTTTGTTTTTCCTCTTCTCAATAAATTGTATTCAGCTGTTGAGAATCAAAACCCTTGTGTAATCCTTAACTCCATTTCCTTATCCAACCCGTTGTCTACACTTGTTAGCTCTAATTTCATAATGCATGCCTTACCTGACTGCTTTCCATATTTTCTACTGTTTCTACTTTGTACAAGGCACCATTGCCTGGGTTTCTGGAGTAACCTTCTTACTGGTCTCCTGATTTCTCTCTTGTTCCTCTGCAGTCTCCAAATAGAAGCGTGATCATGCCATCCCCTTGATCAAAATCCTCAATAGCTTCCTTGACAACATTCAGAATAAAGTTAAGGCTTCAACCATTGCTTATAAGTCCCTGAATGAGTTGCATTGGCCTCCCTCTTTGACTTCATCTTCTTTCCCACTATGCTTTGTCAGTGTCCAACATTATGAACTATTTTGCTATTAAACATTTCAACAGACTTGTATTTAAAAGCATTTGTACTTCTCATGTTTTCTTTCTGGAATGTTCTTTATCTATTGTGGCTCAGCTAATGTTACCTTCTCAGAGAGGCCTTCCTTTCCTGGAAATTGCTCCTTCTACCATCCCCTATATCCTTACATACTGCCTAATTTCCCCCCCATAGCACTCAATTTGATGTACTTAGAATGAGATGTCAATGACAATAGTTTTGTTCATTTGAATATGCCTAAGACTTTAGAACAGTGCCAGGCACATAGTAGGTACTCGATAAATACTTGTTGAATAAATAAACTAATGAACTGGGGAATCTAGCCACATTGTCATCTGATCAGAAGCAGGTATCTCTTGAGCGTTGCCCTACTAACTGTCACACCTGTGACTCTGCTTCTGTTTCCCCTTGCTTCTCTCTATGCCTGATACTCCCTTAACTTTTGTATTTCTACTTATCCATATTCTTTTGGTTTTTTCTGGTATACGTTTTCCCACTCCCCTTTCCTCTGGTCAGGATAAAATCAGATTTGGTAAATTAGTTACCATCCACATCCAAAATGATGCAACATTGGGCTGGATTCTTAAGAAAGATCATCTTACAGACCAGTGGAACAATCACATGGTTGCCTTTGGCTAGGACCTGGTTCCTGGATCAATTAGTTAATGACCAAGGGGGCAGCATCATATGATACAAACATGGAAATGTAAATAGAAGGATCTAGATACAGCTTTCCTTTTCCAGGGTGCTTCACAGTGTGTGTAGCACATTCACTCCTAGAAAGTAATAACAGATTTAATATTCAGTCTGGCCATCTTTCCAGTTATACATTTGTTGGCACTCAAAGTTGTCAGGAAGCTTAAAGTTTAACTAGTGCAACTAGTTAGTGATAACTGAATATTTTCACCGCTTTTAACCTTGGGGTATTATATTGGCTATTTCTCTTGAAGATTCTAATATATTAGTCCTGGGGTGGAGTCAGATCATCAAATGTTTAAAGTGATTCTGCAGTAACAAATCTAAAGATCAATGGAACTCATATAACCAATCACCTACTTAACATGTCTTTCTTAGAGATCATAAGATCAAAATTAACATGTTCAAAACTGACCTTTTGATCTTCTCCAAGGCAAATTGTTTTGTCTTCCACTGTTGGCCTTCTCAGGAAATGGAATTTTCATCTTCCTAGGTATATTCCTGGGTTCAGGAAGTTTCCAAAGACTATATCTAAGGTCTTGTGGATTGCACCCCATTAGTATCTCTTCATCTTTCCTCTTTTTTTTATCCTCAGGGCAACCAACATATTTCAAGTCACAATCATCTCTTTGCCAGGATGTATGATAATTGGTTACTCTCCATTTGTCTTTCTCTTTTTGCCTCTCATTCGTTATCTATACTGTAGCCAACGTGAACTTTAAAAAAATCCTCACCAAAGAACGTTTTACTTGTGTGTGTGTGTGTGTGTGTGTGTGTGTGTGTGTGAGAGAGAGAGAGAGAGAGAGAGAGAGAGAGAGAGAGAGAGAGAAATATCAATTGGTTACTCTGCCTGGACATGCCCAGACTAGTGATCAAATCCCCAAACTAGGTATGTACCCTGATCAGAATCAAACAGATAACGTTTTGGTTCATGGGATGATGCTCCAACCCACTGAACCACCAGGCCAGGGCCAAAATGAGCTTTTAACACACAAAAGTGCTTATGCTACTTTCCAGTTAAAACTCTTCAATAGCTCCCCATTGTCATTAGATAAAATCCCTGTTCCAGAGCAAAGTTTTCAAAGGTTAATGACCCCCCGCCCCCCCCACCCCTCACACACACACTAGATCACAGTTACTACCATAGTATATGGGCATTTTGCAAGCTGCTGAATGCACCAAGCTCTGTGCTGATTCAGGAAAGACTTGCACATTCTCCTTTCTTTAAAAAAAAAATATTTTATTGATTTTTTTACAGAGAGGAAGGGAGAGAGATAGAGAGCTAGAAACACTGATGAGAGAGAGACATCGACCAGCTG